GGCCGAAATATCACTTTGCAGACAGATTATAAACCTCTTTTGACTATTTTCGGTTTAAAGACAGAAATTTCAATTCATACTGCAAATCGACTTCAAAGATGGGCAATAGTTCTCAAAGCATATGACTTCAAGATAAAATATATTAAAATTAGCGATTTCGGTCACGCGGATATTTTGTCAAGATTAGTTAGTCAGATACAATTAAATGATGAAGAATATTTGATTGCTCAGATCAATATCGAATCAGAAGTTTGTCATATATTTGATGAAGTTTTAGAAAATTTGCCAATTACTTTTAAGATGATTTATCAAGAAACTCAACAAGACAAAATTTATTCCAAACAGAAAGGATATTGAAAATTATGCACTTAATTTTTATTATAGACGAGATTCATTATCCGTTGTCAAAGGTTGTCTCATGTTTGGAGTCAGAATAGAATAATCACACCATTGAAATTTCGAAATTCTCTTCTAAAATCACTACTGGTCATCCTGGACAAGAAAGAATGAAATCAATAGCACGTCGATATGTTCACTGGTCAAATATAGACAGGGATGTTATCAATTTTGGGCAAACATGCGAAGAATGTGCACAAGTTTCAAGAAGTCCATCAAAAATTTCTCCAGTAGCATGGCCTGTTTCAAAGGATCTATGACAACGAATTTATATAGATTTTGCTGGTCCAATCAACGATTATTATTATTTAATTCAGGTTGGTTTTTTGGAAAAAGGTTGGATTTAGGTCAAAAATAAACGGCGTTGAAGAAGATAGTGTATATTTGCCGACGTTTCGGCCTAAATTAGGCCATCCTCAGGGCACTAAAAACAGGATATTCATGAGTCTAACATCATGGATTATTACATAGTGAACAGTGTAATTGTAAAGTAGTAAAACTGTGTTAATACAACAATGATACATTTAAAAATTTAAAAATTGAAAAGGAATTTTATATAAATTTACTCAGTTATCCTTATGCTTTGATAGCGAGCAATTTCCCACGAATTAAAAATGAAAAAATGATCGTTGGGTTACGTAAATAACATTAACAATTAAAAATCAAATAAATAAATAACATATAAATAACATAAAACAAGGTAAATTAAATTACAACAGGTATTACTTACATCCAAGTTACTTCTCCAGTGTTATTAAATATAATGTTATATACATAAGGAACATAATGTTGCTTGACTTCGTTCTTTGGTTTAGCTTTGTTAACAAACAGGAAACAGGACATTAATATAAGACAGTTACAAACACAAATAAAATTTAAAATCTTTGGTAGGTACTGGCTTTATTATTTCTAACGTTACACTAAACCATTTGTTTCTTATATGGGTCTTGGTTAGTATCGTATCAATAAGGAACAAAAAAAAAACGGTTTTGGTATTTAGCACAATCGCAAACACAACTATTAAAAGAAAAACATTGCATTATGATGGATTTTGGATGGACTTTAAAATGTTATTATATGTGATGCTTAATTTTTCAATGTCCTGTCTTTTATTAATGTTATTGGGATGCTTTTTAATCTCTATCATTTCTCCGACAAGTCTTTTTTTATAGTTGTTATGTTTTCCTAAAATAGCTACGTTATTAAAATCGAAGTTATGAAGTCTCTCTTCAAAATGCTCAGCTAATGCTGTTTTGTTTTTTGTTTTGATGAGGTTGGACGGTCTTATGCTTCGTTGGTGCTCTGATATTCGTGTTTTTAAATATCTTCCTGTTTGTCCTATGTATAGATATTTAAAAACACGAATATCAGAGCACCAACGAAGCAAAAGACCGTCCAACCTCATCAAAACAAAAAACAAAACAGCATTAGCTGAGCATTTTGAAGAGAGACTTCATAACTTCGATTTTAATAACGTAGCTATTTTAGGAAAACATAACAACTATAAAAATAGACTTGGAAATGATAGAGATTAAAAAGCATCCTAATAACATTAATAAAAGACAGGACGTTGAAAAATTAAGCATCACATATAATAACATTTTAAAGTCCATCCAATCCAAAATCCATCATAATGCAATGTTTTTCTTTTAATGGTTGTGTTAGCGATTGTGCTAAATAGGTACCAAAACCCTTTTTTTTTTTTTTTTGTTCCTTATTGATACGATACTAACCAAGACCCATATAAGAAACAAATGGTTTAGTGTAACGTTAGAAATAATAAAGCCAGTACCTACCAAAGATTTTAAATTTTATTTGTGTTTGTAACTGTCTTATATTAATGTCGTCCTGTTTCCTGTTTGTTAACAAAGCTAAACCAAAGAACGAAGTCAAGCAACATTATGTTCCTTATGTATATAACATTCTATTTAATAACACTGGAGAAGTAACTTGGATGTAAGTAATACCTGTTGTAATCTAATTTACCTTGTTTTATGTTATTTATTTATTTGATTTTTAATTATTAATGTTATTTACGTAACCCAACACTCATTTTTTCATTTTTAATTCGTGGGAAATTGCTCGTTATCAAAGCATAAGGATAACTGAGTAAATTTATATAAAATTCCTTTTCAATTTTTAAATTTTTAAATGTATCATTGTTGTATTAACACAGTTTTACTACTTTACAATTACACTGTTCACTATGTAATAATCCATGATGTTAGACTCATGAATATCCTGTTTTTAGTGCCCTGAGGATGGCCTAATTTAGGCCGAAACGTCGGCAAATATACACTATCTTCTTCAACGCCGTTTATTTTTGACCTAAATTCAACCTTTTTCCAAAAAACCAACCTGAATATCTACTCAGGTCACTAACTATAACAAATTATTATTTAATTATTGTTGATACCCATTCAAAGTGGTCTGAAGATTTTGAAACTAAAACAATCACCTCAAGCTTTGCAATATCAAAATTTGAAGAAGGATATTCACGATTTGGAATTGTTGAAACAGTTGTATCAGACAATGGCAGTCAATTCCCTTGCAACGAATTTAAACAATTTTGTCAGAAAAATGGTATTGAACATATTCGCACCGCAGCATATTGGCCACAGTCAAATGGTCAGGCAGAAAGCTTTGTTGACACCTTGAAAAGAGCACTTCCAAAAATTAAACGAGGGGAAAGTCATAGACAATTAATTACAAGATAATATAAACATGTTTTTAAGAGTGTACAGGTCTACTTTAAATCCAAATTCTCCAGATGGAAAATCTCCGGCTGAACATATGCTAGGAAGAAGAATGAGAATTCCACTCGATTTGTTGCTTCTTCCGAAAAATATCCAGATTAATGAAATTTCAAACAAATTTAAAGAAGATTTGATTTATGCTAAAATTTACAAAAATAACAAGTTCCGTTGGATACCTGGAAAAATCATAGAATCAATTGGCAATGTGATGTACAACATACTAGTGTTTTATCCAAATAATCTCAACATATTAAAAAGATGTCATACTAATCAAATTAAAAGAAGATATGTTGAAGAATCAAATCAAAGTTTTCCGATCCCATTACATTTTTTAATACATAAGTTTAATTTGCAAGACATCGTGGAACAAAGACCAGATCAGTGTTTAGATCAAGAAGTTATCATTGAAAATATACCAGATAATAACGATTCGATAGAATTCACAACAGATAATACAAATACTGAAGAAATGATCGATTGTCAAGAGCATATAGTACAAATACTGTTAATGAAGCTGTTCTGAAGGAATATAGTTTAGATAGTGAAGTTAGAAGATCGGGAAGGTTAAGAAGAAGACCTTCATATTTAGAGGATTTTATTTAAAAAAAAAAAGGAGAAATCTTAGGAAACAGTACCAGGACATACCTGAAAGTACGTTATTCAGCAAGTTTAATTTGATTTTTGTCATATTGATTGTCATTGTATTTTACTGTTGAATTTAATAAAATCTTTTCATATACAAATATTCTTGTAGTTAATCCGAACTACAACAAATTGATTCAGTTTTAAACTTGAAATTTATATGCTTTATTTATTTTTAAATTTGATAAACCTTCTTTTTGATGAGTTATTCACAAGAAACTGCAGATAGTTATAGGTATTCAAGATGGTAGCCAGGTTGCTCCTGGGTAATTCCTCTAATTTCCACCAAGTTGCATTTTAAATTTTCAGATTGACTCGATAATGCTTTTTTGCGACCAATGAGTCGTATAAATCTGTTTGGATTGGGATAACTATCAACATTCTTGAGCTCTATTATTAGTGAACGCCTCTTGACAATCTTCTTAAAAATAACTGTGTCGTGTGCCTTTTAAAAAAAGCCCCATAGTTTTGCTCAATAATTGATAAAACTGCATGGTACGTTTTACCTATACCTATTTTAAATGTTTCAGGAAATAACTAGGTTAGTACCTAGTAGGTGTGAAAAATACCTACCTAGTGATCCTACGTGCTAATATGATAAGATGACCATCTTACCAACACTGTTTTAGTTGATGCAGGTGATTAGGAATATGATTTTTTCAAATTTATTTTTGTAATTTCTAATTTTTTGAATGTAAACAACGTAGGGAAATTTTGGACTTCTTATTTAATACGTAGTTCATAATTCGATTGTCTAGACATTATGGCTTTCACGTTATATTGATTTCAATTAAATTTATTTATTTGATAATTATCATCAAGTTGCTTATTAATTAGCGAAAATAGATATTTGGTTATGAAAAAGTATTTCAAAAATTAAGCAAAATTCATAGAAGTTTCCCGCCTTGAAAAGTCTTTAATCAATTGTTCAAAAATGGCTTATTTTGACTGCATTTTCCTTCAAATTTTAAAATGACGGAAGGTAAGTAAATTCTAATTTTTTCTCTATTAAAAAATATATCCATCATAAGAGCCAAAATTTTTTTGAGAAAAAATAACTATCCCTTCCTTCTTCCCTAATATAAAAAAATCAAATTCAAGTCCAATGGAATAAGCGTTAGATTGTTGTTTTGCACTAAATTTTTCTTCAAAAGAAAACTTGAAATAAATTTTCAATACCCAAGAAAAAAATAATAATAATCTTACCGTAATTCTCAGCCACCATTTTTGCTTAATTCAAAAAATAAATAAAAAAAACAATCCACTAATTATTGATAACAACAACGCACATAAGAAAAGACAATTAGAATGAAACGTTAGTTAAGCGTACTGCCCGAAATCCAAGGTAGTACTGGCACTCACACCGGTCAGGTGTTGAAAATAAATATATTGAAGAAGATCACCGTTTCGAAAATAGGCAGTTTTATTATCAATAAATTTAATAATTGGTACTACTCCGCCTACAATACTAGTGGTATACTGAATAAGGACCAGGTGGGCGATATACTAATTTAAATTAAGTACTGTTTTTAGTTTAATGCATTTTCAACTAATTATAGAGGTACCTACTTTGATGTCATTAAAAGGTACTTTTCTGAGGAAGGCGCGTTATTTTGTCACATACTGATTGAATTAACTAGTTCCATATTTTTTTTATAATTATTGTGAAATGGAAATAAACTTGATTAGTTAATTAAATGCCTGTTCTAGATTGTATTGTTTTTTTCCTTATGCTATGATAAGCCCCCTTTTCTATTTAAAAAAAAGGATTTATTGATCTAAGAAAAATACTCTGAAAAATTCTAGAATTATGTAGGGTACAAGGAAGTTTTTGAAAATGTGTTTGTAATAACAAAGTTTATATTTGCCCGGAATTTTTAGCATAATTTCTGGTTCACAACTCAATTTTTCTGGTAGGTACTTATTGGTCTTGATGAAAACTCTTCTGATGCTCGCATACTATACCGATCTCAGCTGATGGTTCTTCTCGTTCTGGGATTCCCAAAAACTAATTGTGCTTGTTTAAGGCAACTAGGTTTTTCACGAAAATTGGAGGAATATTTCCGGTCCTGTTCTTTTTTCTGGTACCAAGGTGGGTACCAAGTCTACCTAGTAAAATTACTACCTACCTACCTGAGGAAAGTTCGGGCTATATTGCATGTTTTTAGTATTATGGCTTTCTATATGTAGGTACTCATGTCTGACTGTATCTAGCTGCAGATGTTTTAGATGTTGATTGAATGCTTTATGTATTATTCCTGTTGTAGACATTATAAATGGTATGATGTGGATTTTTTTTCTGTTTCCAAATTCTTTCAACTTTGCATTGCCAAGGGCGTATATTTTTCAATTTTTTCTGCGTACTTTTTGCTGATGTTCCTATCTGTAGGTATTGCTATGTCTATTAGATACGTGTTTTGATTCACCTTATCTATCAGAGTGAGATCTGGTCTGTTATGCTGTACAGTTTTGTCCGTGCGTATATCTATGTCGTAGTAGAGTTTAAAACTCTTGTTCTCAAGTATACTGTCTGGCGTGTATGGTGGTAATATGGTGTTTCTGTGGTGATTAGGCCATATTTATGGGCCAATGCTTGGTGTATTACTAACTGCAATGTTGTGTCTATCTGTGTATGACGTGCCTGCCAGTATTTTGCATCCTCCTACTACATGATCAATAGTTTCCTGGTGTTTGTGGCATTTTCTACATAAGTCGCTTATCTCTGTATTTTTCAATACATATTTCTGGTAGTTCCTCGTAGCTATCACCTGATCCTGTATGGCAAGTATAAAGCCTTCTGTTTCTGGGTAGAGTTGTTCTTTCTGTAGCCATCTATATGATTCTTGTTTTTGAATCTGTTCGTTGTTCATGATGTGCAAGTGTTTTCCGTGTAGCTTCTTTTGTGACCATTCCTCCATTCTCTGTTGTTGTGATTGTGTTTCAGACTGAGAGAGGTTAAGTGGTGTATATTCTTTATCTGCTTGCGCGACTGCTGAGTGTAATGAAGTTTGCTTGTTGTGGAAGTATTCTCTGAGGGTTTGTATCTGCTTTGCATGGAGTGCGTGAATGTCTACTAGCCCTCTCCCGCCTTCCTTCCTGCTTATTATGATTCTCTCTTTACATGAGTTTGGGTGTAGTTTCCTATTCCTCGTCAGTTCAGATCTTGTGAGGATATTTATGTTTTCCCAGGTCTGTTTTTGTCCATTTAATTATTCCGAAGGAATATGTAAGTAGCGGGATGGCAAACGTGTTAATAGCTTTGAACAGATTCTTTGAGTTTAATTTTTTATTTAGTATTAGAGTTAAACGATTCTTAAACTCCTCAGTTAGTTGTTTTTTTATTGTCATGTGATCTATTCTTTTGTTCTGTTGATATCCCAGATATTTATATGTTTCATCAATTTGCATTTTATCAAGCTTTTCATTGTTTAGTGTTTCTGTGTCGACTTTGTCCTTCCATTTACCTCTTTCTATATGTAATGTTTTACATTTGCTGATTCCGAATTCCATTCCTATGTCTGTTGTAACTTTTTCCGTTATTCTCAGTAATCCCTTCATTTGTGTCTGTGTTGGTGCATATATTTTGATGTCGTCCATATAAAACAGATGGTTGATTCTGTGTTTTACTCTGCTTTGGTGTTTAATCTGGAAGCCGCATTTTGTGTTATTCAGTGTGTTGGAGAGTGGGTTGAGGCACAGACAGAACAAAAGTGCACTCAGAGAGTCTCCTTGGAAGATTCCCTTTTTTATATTAATGTTATATATGTTTGTTCTCCAGGTGTTCATGATGGTTGACAAGAAGTTTCTAATAACTGGATGTATTTTATAAATTTGTAGCACCTTGTTTAACCATGAATGTGGTACAGAGTCGCACGCTTTTTTGTAATCTATGTAACATGCTATAAGATTTCTTTGTTGCTTTTCTGTTTGTTTCATTATTATGGAGTCTATAATTAGTTGTTCCTTACAATCTGTTACGGGATGATTTTTCCTGGGTTAAAATGAAAGGAAATAAGCGTATTCGCCTCAATGAATAGCATACCTTCGTCAAGCCACTGTTGTCTTTTCAATAGGGTGGCCAAACTTTTCATCAAACTTTTCATTTTTCCCAGAATCATTAAGTTAGAGGTTTATTAATGGAATTGATTTTCTGTTAGTAGGGTTTAAATAAATAGACAATTAATTTATTAATAAAACAAAATCACAATATTTACACTAGAACAGCTGATTGTCTGATCCGAGTAGATTGTCTAGATTGACAGCGCTCCAAATAGAGTCAATGACCGGTACTAACTTAACTTGAATAAGTCCCATGCCCCAACTACCATCAAAATCCCCAGAACCCTTCACCTTGGAGTTTTGACAGAACCTTTTTAAAGGACATTGCAGGGACAAGCAGAGGTCATTCAGGTCGAGGACTTTCCACGATTAAGTGTTCGGGAGAACTCCTCAGGCACATTTTGCCTATTTCTGAGTTGCCAAGTTTCGCTCATAGATCTAGCGTGGCTAATCCGCTATTTTAGCACCCAATCGCCTTGTGCAGATTTTTTTGTGAGTCGAAAAAGAGCAACGTGGTCAATTGTTTGTTCCTAAAGGCCAAAGTAATTTTGGTAAGTGGTTTTTCTTATTAATCTTCTCTGTGTTTATCTATTTCCTATGTAAAAGCATAGTTTTCTGTTAATTATACGAATACGGTTAAATTCCGAATATCGGACATACCGACCTCTATTGCCCCACGTTGGGCGCCAATTTATTACGTGGCAAAACGGACACTGCCACTTTGTTACCCGCAAAACGTAACGGAGAAGTCAATAATAAGATTTTGAGGAGGCGGGAAAGTTAATGGGTAACTAAAAAGAAAAAAAAATAAAAAGAGAAGAGAGAGGGTTGGTTGGTGGCTGACATCTAGAAACGTGATTTCGTGTAAAGGGTTGCCGACTAGCTTCCAATACGGAGAGGGGTGTGGGTTAATTAAATAACTAAATATAGAGCGCCAGCTGCTTTTTCCCTGCAGTACACGAAATCAACTGATATAACGAAAGCAGGAAACTTCTACGGAACTATAGCAGCACAACCTGAAATATAAACGTAAACAAGAAGGACTCTTTTTTTTGCAACCCTTTTGTTCTTCACCGATGTTATTATTTTATAGAGGGTCAGCAAACATGTTATTGGTCGATAGTTAGCCGGACCAAAAGTTTTGTATTTGGTCTGTTCCTGAGCATTTCCAGTTATGTGTTCTCTTTACCTTTCGTTTTGATGATTTCGAGTTGGGTTACAAAATAATAACAACGCATAACATTTCGGTTCATTCCGTCGTTCCAAGTCATGCGTTGTCAGACTCGTCTTGCCTTAGTGGTTGCTGGTTGTCCCTGCAAAACATTTCGGGCAGTTCCTGAATTCGTGGCCTGGTCTTCATTGATTTGGTCAAGCGATCTGTTCTCACAACGCCCGTCTTGACTGTCCGGTCGTTCATCCGAGATTTTTGCTTGTTTAGTTTCAGGTTCTGGCCTATCCTTTGTTTGTGGTGTTAGTAGTTCAAAACGGCCGGCTTCAGGGCTGCCAATTAGGAGTAGGTGAATGGTCTTATTGTGCCTTCTCTTGCTTATTATTATTGGCTTGTCTTTCATTATTATTTTCTTTGCTCTAGTTATTTGCTGTTTGTTATAGATGTAAAAGTCCATTTTCTGTGTTTCAGAGAGAGCAAGCATTTCCAGACTAGTTCCATATGTGGTTGTTTTTTTCATGCGAGCATGATAGTTTTTGATGTTTCGCATTCTATTGTCCTCGATTAGCGCATGTACCTGTAGCTCCGACTAGTTTAGCTGTATGTACTTCAGTGATACTTCTCTTAGTTGTTGGTGTCGATTTTGGTGGCCATATAGATGTAGGCTCACTGATCTAAAAAGGCAGTTTTCATCACCAATCACAGCAGATCTTATGAAAATCTCGGGTGTAGGTTTGGTAGGTTTTTATTATTATAATTTTTATTTTTTTTTCAATGCTCTGTTTTTACAGGTAAAGTTCAACCAAGATTATCGGCCCATGAGCAAGACGATCTTGGTGAGTCTGCAGCTCAAGAAAGAGAGGTCCGAACGATATGAGCTGCATCTAGGATCACTGCCTTCTGAATGTGGCGGTATATATTCACAGGTAAGTCTATCATTTTTAGGTATTCTTTCAAGCTTTTTGGAACTACACCCGTGCTAGATAATATGATTGGTATTATTTCGACCTTATCCATATAGTGCATTTCTTTATATTCCCGTTTTAACTCTCTATATTTCTCGATTTTTTCATTTGTTTTCAGGTCCAGGTTGTTGGTGTTTGGAATGGCGATATCTATAAAATAGGTAGTTTTTATTTTTTTGTCGATGAGCACGATATCGAGCCTGTTGTGTCACACTTCAATGTCCGGAATGATTGTTTTATCCCAG